ATAAGGGTATAATTACTTTAGGATAAAATGTCACAAACTCAGAAGAAAAGAGTCGACGTAATAAGACGGCAGCCATTGCACGCATTTCTTCTGTAAGTGTGGTATTGCATAAGGATGTTAAAAGAAATGTCACCTTGCTATCCACTGGGAGATTGTTGTATGCCTCCTAAAATATTAAATGTATGTACATACATATATTATATAATTTAATTATGTTATTATGTTACATATCTTAAATATATTGATCAAATATCTATATGTTTAACAATTATTATTGTAAGTTTAATTTCAGTTTGTAAAATTCTGTAATTTTTTGAATGTTACTCAAATGATGCTTAATAATTTATATTTTAACAAGTAAAAAGAAAAAGAAAAAATGGGAGGAAAGAAGCACATGATACTTGACCATTACATATGTTTATACATTTTATTATTGTCGTATTATGCATATGTAATAAATGAAAAATAAGAAAATTAAAAATATTTAGTTTTAATAGTGACAATAATGTAACTATAAATGTATAGAACATTAAATATATTCATGTGAATAAAGGTATTTTCTGTACTATTCAAAGCAGGTTCTGAAATGCCGGAAACCTAATCGAAAACGGTGGCGTGTAGGCGGGAAAGTGAAATATAGAAATTATAAATCTTGATAAGTAGTTATACTATATATTTTATGTTGCTCAATCCAAAATTAATCTGCTTTATGCTTTGATGTAATAATAGAATTATATGAATAATATTGGTAACAATAAAAAAGAAATTGGTCAAATATACATTTGCACTATATTAAAAGTGATACAGTCCTTTGTAAAAGGTTGGAGGGGTGCACACTACCACGCGACACCATTTTGGATTTTATTAGGTTGTTCTAAACACTTGTCAGTATTCATTGCGATTACTAATCGTATCGATTACAAAATTATCTGTATTAATGCAAAAGAAAAGTATTCGATAGTAAGAATTAAAGTGAAACCGTATTTTGATAAAAATGATTAGTGAACGGTACCACATGCAAATTCTGACAACACGTTGGCAACGTGCTCGAAGATTGAAGCACCTCATTTTATAATATGTATGTTTTTTAACAAATTAATATATGTAAAAAATGCGTGTGAAAATTACAAGAAATATACGCACCTCGGCTTGCGTTCTGGCATCATTATCCGTGCTAAGGAGTGTGTTCAAAAGCTGTTGAAATTGATCAAGGTCTGCCGCCATTGTCGCCGAACGAATGAAACTACAGCGCACACTCATAAGAGTTGATCGTCAATTAATGTTACCAAGATAAATCACTAAAATATTCCTAGGTGTTTATTGCCAACGTCACAATTGTTTTCTAATTGAAGATGAGCCTTTTATGTAACTAGATTTAAATCCATGATTTGTTGAGAATGTTTATCTGAAATTGTAAAAAATTATTGTCATAAATGAGTATAGTATAAATAATGCATATTATTTTATTGTCCTAAAATTAATTTTTTCAGATAATTTTTCATACTTTAATTATTTAAAAATATTACTAGGCCAAGTATGAAATTACAATTTAGAAATACTTTTATTTGGAAAATATTTTATGTAAAATATTGAATAATGTTTTAATCTGCACATTACTTTTGCCAAACGGTGTGAATATAAAATATAAAAAAATCGTGAAACTATTTTAAAGTTATTTCATTCGATAAATATTTCTATTAAAAACGTAAACAATAAACATATTGTTAATGTTTATTATATTATATCTTTTTTACTTCTTATTTATATATTTATTGTGTATTGTATACGTGTAACGATATTTTATACACTTTATAATTTAGAAATTTTTATGACTTTGATTGATCATTTTTAATTGGTTATTTTCATATTTCAGTGTTTGAGCTGTATGTTACAAAGAAAAAAATAAAAATAAGAGTCTAAATTACTGAAATAAATTATTATTTCCTAATTACTCTAATTCTTCCTGATTAAAAGAGGTGTAATTACACAACAAGCAAAATTTGGGTTAAAGTGCACGTGTTATTTTGTATGTATATTATATTTTTTTTTGGATAATATATGGCCTACTTTAACAATATATTGCTGTGCAATAATTATTGCATATATTTACTGTAATTATAATATGTTTAGTATCGATACTGTTGTGTATTCTGTACACACACGCATGGTAATATTACCATTTATAGAAATGATATAGAATTTCTTCGCATAGAATAACATGACGTTCGATTTTATTACTGAATCCTTTCTATTAATATTACTATTGGATATACTTAAATCGTGTACTATCTCGATAGTTGCAGCACACCTTTTAAAATATCAGTTGCCAAATATTCGGTGAAGTAATGATGGAAATAATTATAAAAGTAATTCTGAACAATTTTAGTAAAAATATTATTTGAGACTTATTATTTGAGAAGTTTTTACAAAATAGTGAAATAACAGAGACTATATTTAATTATGTATTACGAAACAATTTTGTGAAGAATAAACTACAAAAATGTGTAATAAGTTAGATAGATGTTTACATTATAATTATTTGTAATTATGAAAGATTAGCTATAGCTGTTAAATAAATTCCATAATTTATAAATTTTTCCTATCGATATTCGTATTATTATTAAAAAAATTAAGTTGTAGAAAAGTTAACTTTTGATATATATTTAATCTTTCCTTATAAAAATGAAATATAAAATCGTGAACGAACAACTTTATTTTTAAATACCATAAAATGATATCTCTTTTGAAGTCATTTAGCATATTGATGAGATTTCAAACTGACTGTAAGAAGTTTGGCTATTTAGCGATGTGTCAGGTAGGTGAAATCCTAACCTGACCTTTGATACATTCCCTTATGTAGGTAGTGGATAGAACTGCGAACACAAGCAGCTTAACCTTTGCTAATTAGTGGGCTGCTTGCCTCTTTACAGGGATGAGTATGTGGCGTTAACTCGTTGCCTAAGGTACGCATATATGGACCACCGTGAAAGTCATTGTGCGCTCATTAAGTTCACAGAGATAAGAAGGAAATAGAATTGCGGTTGCTAAGATGATACGAAAGTAAAAAAAGAAAAAACAGAAAAAAGATGTAAGTGTACAATGCAACAAGAAATGAAGAGGGCTTGTGCTTCGATGTTCAATCTTGGCTACATGTGTTATATTCTGGTGTTATGTAATCGCAGTCGCGTGCATCATTGGTAACTCTTATAATTGATTTTTGTAGGTTATACGTAATGATGTTTATGCGACGAATGGTTGAATTGAATTTCAATCAGTTATGTCGTAAAATGGAAAATTTCGACTTTACAGTCTTGTGTGTACTTTTCATATTTTTTGAAATATGCAGAGTCAATTGAGTTACCTGGTAGCGATTCAGTTTTCCTTTTTAAAGTATCAAGTCTATTTTTAACGCATATAACTTTAATGATAGTTATGGTTTTGTAACATTTATCTATGTTCATTTATGAGTATTTAATTAATTATATACTTAAATATAAAATGATATTTTGTTTAAAAATGGTCTCAAATATGAATCGATGATATGAATGTATAATATAAAATGTGTAATAAATCTGATTTTGTTACTATTCAAACCATATAATATTTAATAATTAAAAACAACATATGTTCCGATAAATCGATTTTCAAGTAAAACATAATTTACAGTATATTCATTTAATATAGTTTATTTAATATAATAATATGGTTTATTTAATAAAGTTTTGTATTACATAATAATTTATTCCCGTTTGAAAAAACTGATGATGCTTTAACTAAAAGGAGTAGACTATCTTCAAAATCAGGTAATGTTTGACAACTTTTTTCATGAGTAATTACTAAGAGAAAAATTTGGATATTTTTTTATTATTATTACTGATTATGCATTATGTAATGTTACTTTGTTCACTATTCTTAGCTAATATATAGTTTCTGATATTATTGTAAACACAGATCCATTTTGCTACTATAACGAATAGCTCGATGGTTCACTTGCTGCGATCAATTTTGACAAACATTCCTCGGACTCTTGGTAAATCGATTTTATAAAAAGTTATGTTGAATTTTATTTTATTAATATAAAGTTTGATTTTCATAGGATAATTGTTGGAAATGTATTCTGTTCCATGTTTGATGGACTGAAATACGAGTATAGTATCACGAATATTCTCGTCATTATGAAGCAATCTAGCAAATTATTGTTTAAGAAATTACTCGAGTTAAATAAGTACTTAAATACAAGCTGAGGTAAAATAAGATGTATTATGATGCTTAGATATTTTTGTTACCAATTGAAAATTATGCGAATACTAAAATTGAAATTATACATTTATTCTTTTTCTTTCAGACAATAAAGAGTAGATTATAGAAAGTAAAATACGTAATTTACCGTATAGTTAACGATAAATATTCTGACGGATGTTTCAATATTCATAGATACGGAACGAGTTTAATTAATATTGAATATTTCATTTTAATTTCTCTTCGTTCATTTCTTCAGAAAGCATTTGACACGATTGCTTGGTTCATTTAGACTTTAACAACTATGACGTTCGGTAAATGTCTGCTTTAATAAATATTTATAAAGATGCTTCGTTTATACCCTGTTAGGACGGTGTTCGAGGTACTTAGAGGAAACTTCTCGAAATAAATTAATGATTAAACTAACTGGGCCTTGAAGTTTCTCTCACGAAACTTGTAAGATTCTTCAAGATTCTTTCTCCAAGTTAGAGACATAATCGAACCGGTATCAGTGTGGCTTATGTCTTGTTAAAATAGAGATTCAGCTGATTAAACATTTACAGAGATAACTCTATCATCGACTTAGAATTTAAAGTTATATTTCAAGCTGCATCGTCTATTATTAAAACTCTTCGATATTTATGAACTATCCGTTAAATATTGTAATTTCGTTTCCTCGTTTAAGCTTTGTTTCCATTGCAACGCGTTTTACCCCATCGAGATAAATTAATCTCACCGAATTATACCTTTGCAAAATTTATTCACGTCTCATCTATATTTATTCTCTGTTCGATCGAATATAAAATTTCTTCATTCGAGATGTATTTCTTCAAAAGCACCTTGAGTTCGTCGTCAGGGCTGGCTTGATTGTCAGCGTTCATCGTATATTTCTTTATCTTTTTTATCGCCCGCACGATGCAGCCCTCGAATCCTACGCTCTTCTCTTTCAACTTTTGATAATCGTTTCGAAATTCGCTTGCTTTGTGTTTGAGGTCCGCATTGATTTTTCTCAAGCTATACAGCTCATCCTTCAAAGCAGCCTTCTCAGATTCTAGCCAATCCAATTTCGTTCCAGATGTATCCAGTCGAACCCGTAAAGACTCTTTTTCGTCCCTCAGTTTCGTCAATTCCGCTTTCAATGCTTGAATCTCCTCCGCCGCGATTCGTATCTCGTTCCTTCGCTTCTCGTCTTCCGTGAAATTAACAACCAAGTTGCACCTCAGAGAGTTCACCTCCATTTTCAGGGCAACGTTCTCCACTTTTAGTTTGTTCATGATTTCCAACAGATTCTCGATCTCTGTCACATTCTCCTGTTCCGTCGTTGCATCGTCGTAAGGACATACACTCGACTGCCCAAAACGTGTCACTGCGCTCATATTACCGAGACCATGGCCGGAATAGCTGTTGATCTCTTTGTAATATAGATTCACGATCTCTAGCTTGTTCGAGATAGGTTTAATCGCTGTTTCGCTTATCCTCTTCTCCAACTCGTCCTTCTGCCTCTGAAGCTCATCTTTCATGCGAGTCAATTGCATCTTGACCTCGAAGTTCTGACTTCTCAAGTTTAGTATCTCGAATCTCAGCGATTCGTTCTCCACCATTAGTTTCTTGAGGCCCTCTTTCGCCTCCGCTGCCTTCGCTTTGTCACTCGCGCGTTTTCCAGACTTCGTCTGTTTCGTTTCCGTTTGTTCGTTGGAAAAATTGGATTCGTTGTATGCCACGGTTCCATTCTTCTCTATCTTCGATACCTTCGATCGTAGACTGTTCATGTATTCCTGTTCCAATAATTTTTTCTCCTTCTTCAATATAGCGTTCATTCCCTCCAAGATCTTCAGTTGGTTCCCTAGTATTCTGCACTCGCTGTGGATCTCATTTGCTCTTAGCTTTAGATCCTCGTTAGCTTCTTTCAGCGTCCCGTTACTTTGTTTCACCTCGTCGAGCTGGCTACGTAGATTTTTGTTTTCTGATGTCGATTTGTTATATTCTATTTTTAATTTAGACAACTCGACGTTGGAGCATTCCCTCGCCTTTTTAACTTCGTCCAACTGATCTTTCAGCGCAACGGTCTCTTCGTTTAGCTCGTTAATACGTGTCGTCAGTTCGCTCTTCTCCACCAGGAGCGCTTGTAAGCGGCCTTCCAAGCCAGCATTCTTCAAAGTCAATCGGTTCAAATCGTCATGCAACCTCGAATTTTCGAGTTCTTGTCGCTTTATCTTATCCCCTGCACCATCTAAATCCGTTTGTATTTTTTCCAATTTGTCGCTTAAATTTTCGTTGCTCGTTCTGAAGTTTCTGACCTCTTCGATTAGGCCCTCGCGCTCAGCCTTGTATCTATCAATCTCATCCTCGAGTATGGAACACTTGTCGTGAACGTGTTTCAGGGATTTCTCTAGGACATCCTTTTCGATCCTCAGACTCGTCAAGTGCGTGTTCAAATGTTCCTTTTCCTTTTTCAAGTTAGCCATTTTGACGTCTAATTCGTTATAATCCGATTGTAACTTCGTGATATCTCTCAGCCTCCCCTCGGCAGTAGCCTTCTCGGTGTCCAGTTGAAACACGAGCATCTCCTTCTTCGACTCCAAGTGAAAGACGTCCGTTTGTAGCTTCGTTTTCTCCCCAGAGATACAGTCTAGTTTAACTTTCAGATCGGCGATCTCGCGATTCGCGTTGTCGAGGCTCTCCTTGGAAATTGCTAAATTCACCTTCAGCTGTTGCAATTCCACGTTCATTTTCTCCGCAGTTTCTCGTGATCGTTTCATGCTCTCGTTTTCCCTCTCGACATTCGTGGTTTCTCGTTTGCATCTAATTCGTTCTAATTCGTTCGTCCTGGCCTGTAATTTTTCATTCTCCTTCGTGGCAGTCTGAAGGTTCCGCGCCAAATCAGCGATCCTCGCGTTCAATGTTTTCTCCAGCGTGCTCTTCTCGTCGTTTTTCCTTTGCAAAGCGTCACGAATTTTTCCCATTTCCTTTAACAGCCCCTCCTTATCGCCCTGAAGATTTTGTAATTTCTTTCTCGTTAAACTCGCCTCGCCTTTCACCTGTTGCAGTTGCTCTATCTCCTTCTTCGAGTCTTCCAGTTCACGTTGGATCTCCGTCGACCTCTCCTCTGTCCTCTTCATCTTCCCTTTCAAGTCTTCGTTCTCCACCATTAGTACGACAATTTTCTTCTGCGCATCCTCCAGCTCCTTCATCCTGTGTTCCATCAGGTTCTCCGTGTCGCACAGTTTCTGGTTAAGAACGTTCACGTGTTCGTCCTTCTCGTTTAGCTCCGTTTTTAATTGCACGATCGAGTCCTCCAACTGCTCGATCCTCTTGAACCCACTCGAACGATCGTTGGACACTACGATCACTTCCAGCTGCTTGATCTCGTGACACACTCTACCTACGAAATCTTCCAATTCTTCGATGTCCTTCGACCCGTTTGATTTCCCTTCAGCGCGACGATTCAGTCCATTCATCGTCGATCTCGCCTTCTCGATCATCGTCTCGAGCTCTTCTATTTTATTCAAGTACTCCAGACCCCCGGTGCAGTCGATTCCGTAATGCTTCTTCACGTGATTGTTCTTCAACTTGTCGATCTCGTCGTTGATCTCCTTCAACGTAGAGTCCAAGGTCGAAAGCTGTTTCAGATACCTGTTACATTCTGTTATCTTTTCAGGACACGAGAAATGGACATCGTCGGTGAGCTTGGCCAGTTCAACGTGCAGCTGTTTAAGATTGATACGCAGCTCGATGATCTTCTGGATGTACTTCAAGCAATCTGGATCACCACCAGCAAGGAGAGCTTCGTGGTCGTTCTTCAGTTTGTTCCTCAAATCCTGCACCAATCTTTCGAAGTTCTTAAGACTGTTCTGAAAATTTGAATCGCTACCCCAGTTGTCGCCGTAATTGATCTTGACTATCTTTAGTTCCATTTTCAAATGTTTCGTCAGATTGTCTAGTTCGGCGATCCTCTTCTGATAATCCACGAGGTTGCCACTCTTGAACCGCAATGTAGCCTTCAGTTTATCGATCTCGACGTACAAGCTATCGTTCTTCATTCGCGATCTGTGCAAACGTTCATTCACGTTAACCAGTTCCTCCGACAAATTCGCTATTGTCTCAGCGACTTTGTTAACTATATCGGTGAATATAATCTCCATAGTATAGTCGACCATCATGAAGTGTTTCAGCTTGCATTTTAAGTGCTCCACTTCCGAACTGTGTTCGTGACCCTCTTCGACTTCGCTCAGCCGACTTTTCAGGTACTGAATCTCGTTGTTCAAACGTTCTCTCTCTATTAAATATCCCTGTTTAACCTCTACGAGCTTGTCGTTTGATTTCCAAGTGACTTCCTCGGTAACGTAGCCATCATTGAGCAGAGCTGACTTGATGTTCGCGATCTCTTTCTTTAATTCCTTATTGGCTGTCTCTAGTCGTTTGATCTCTGCTCTCTGGTGCTCGATCAAGGGGTCAGCGTGCAAGGTATCGTCAGTTTCTCTTCCAGCGACGCGCAAGGCCAGTTTCAGTCGCCAAATGTTGGATCTCAGTTTCATGCGATCGTCACGCCAGTCTTTCATCTGCTTCATTATGCTGTTCAGCCTGCACAAAGTGGCTGCTGCGACTTCTGCTATTCTCGTCTTCTCTTTGAATCCTTCATCGTCGTTTGTTTCGATCGACTCGCAATTTTCGAGGTATTCGTTCATCGTTGTTGGATTCTTGGTCTCAGACGTGTAAATTAAGCCGAGATTTTCAATTCGATTAATTTTGACAGGAATCCTCGTGTTCGTGTAATCGCGATGAAATTATACTAGAGTTACTCTCACTGGTCGAGTTTTTAATTGGTCGAATTGACGATGCTGAAAGTTTGCAAAAATATGTTGTAAATTTTAATGGAGCTTGACAACGATGGTATTCGGATGAAGTACTTCGAGGTTTTCGTATATTATTCGTGGATGAGTAATTTGGTTTTGGCAGTTTACGTTAAGAACTTTGATTAATTTTGTACGAATATTTTTATAGCTGAGTGGTTTTATCTCTGAAGTAGTATTGCAAAAATATGAATGACATCGTAAATTTGATTTCATTATTGCTCAAATTGAGTAGTGATTAATTTTGCATCGAAGAAATCGAAAATATGATTGTACCAATTGCATATAAGTGTTAATTTTGTTTAAACGTATTTAATGTTTCATACGAAATTTCTTTATCTTTATTAATTATTAAATGAAATTTATTTTATACCGATTCGAGTATTCAGAGGTTTATTTAAAACTTTCACAATTTTGTTATGTGAAACAAAAGTTACTCTCATGATTAAATACTAAAAATTATTTGATCGTTGCAAACATTTGCATTAAATTTACTGTAATATGAACATACATGTTACTTTTTAGAAATAAGGTCTCTATGTTTTGATCAAAAATAACATTGAAGAAAAGCATAAATTTTACCCAGGCATGATAAGATTAAATTTTGCAAAATTATAGTCAACCTTACTCGTGCAATCAGTGGAGGCATTTTAGGTATTTTAGTACAGATATATGAATAGCATTTAATGAAAATTATTATAATTTAAATGCCTGAAATTATAATAACCACCAAAATGGTATATCTTGAATTTAAACAATGCATAGCATACACATTGTGGTGTAAATATTATAAATACATAAATAAAAGATATACTATAATTATTTTCAAATATTATACCTTGAAATCGGCCCTGTATGAATATTTGTTAAATTGTTAATGCAGATTTAAATGCCATATCGTTGAAGATATATTCAAATATAAAATATGCAGAGAAGCATTAAATAGTTCTCAAATCATCTGCATTTTTTACGTATAATTTCCTTCCCTTCCATAGAATTTGCATATTTTTCAATTATTTCACATTTTTACAAGACCTTTTATCCTAAAAATTAAAGATCAAAATTTGTGGTTATGTCGCTGATAATTTTATACAAACATTTCTAGACGTGACATATAAATTGTTGCGCGTTATTTGTTTAGATAAATTAACTTCATTTTAAATATTAAATAAAGACGCATTTAATTTTTTAAATAATAAATACTATATCATATAATAAAGTAATGTATTTATAAAATATTTTTAAAGAAATAAGTAGTTTATTTAAAAGAAGACAGGTATTTTCAGAAATTAAAATATCAAATAAGAAAAAGTGTTCCTTTTTAAAATTTTAAATATCAAATAAGAAAAATTTTTCCTTTTTAAAATTTTTTATTATTATTTCTAATATGTAAATATTTAGAAGAAGCAAAGAATTTTAGTCTTGATATTATTATGTTAAACAAATGATTTTATTTATTAGTATTTTTAATTTAATAATTCTGAACAATTTTTTAAGAATGTTTGAGCAATCTTTGTGTACTTTTTTATTATTTTTCAATACAATTTTATTTATAGTCTCATTTATTGATAATTCCATCTAATTTTACCTAATGCAACACAGTTTATTCGATTACCCTAGTAATTAATAAACACTATACACCAATAAACATTAAATTAAAAAGAAAATAATCAACCAATCCCTATGATTAAATTCTACAAAATCATATTAACCCGTACAAATGTTATTAAATTTTTAATATGAAATTTCCACACGTATATAAGTGGAAAGTATATTATCTAACATTTTCAATATGGATTCCATTACTAATTGCGAACTGTTAATATCCTGTATTATTGACTACTTCCTGCCGATATCTTGTAAACTATTTAGATTAATTAATCAGTATACATATTTAATATAACTATTTAGTTTAACACATTTAAAAAGAGATTAAATGCATTTGTGGACGTGCACATTTATAAAATTTACTGTGTCGATTTAACCATTTTAGGTTTCGTATATGCATAGAACATCATACATAAAATATTGCAACTCATTTTATAGTATATATTGAAGGTATATACCTGATAGGTATTATCCACGAACTTCTTTCCATATTCTGTTTCATCTTGAGCATCGCATAGTAAATTGCGCATAACATCGATTATCTAGTCGTTAATTATCCGAGGCTCTAAGTATTTTGTCTACTATTGCAAGGAAATTAATTTAATTGCTTAATTTAAGCAATTAAAAAGTAAATTAATTCGAGTAATTAAATATCACATTAAAATTTGTAAATTCATTATTTTTTTGGAGGACTTTACACGTTATATTTTTAGTTATCTGTAATACACAAACTTAAGAGCGAGTTTGTAACTGTGGTAAATTACTTCGAAAATTTAATTGATAAGGTGTACCCTTGATAAGTTGACGTAATTGAAGCCCCGAAGATGAAGCCCCCTGGAAACGTTCAAAAACTTTCGTATCGTTATACAAGTTTCTTAAAATTGGAACACCCAATAAAATGTTCCTAACGAGAGTTAGCGAATAGTAATTCAATTATGGCAATCGTTTAAACTGAACGTGAATCAAAAGTTCCGTACTTGTGGACTAACTTTTAACGAAAATCTAGTCGATAGTTCACTTTAGTGGCTAGCTTTACGTGAACTTACTAATGACTGTATAACAAAGCTAATTATTCAAGTGAGATATTTAAAAAGGGAATTAGCACGTTAAGCATTTGGATATTTTAAGTTTTACGTTTTTCTTTCTGATCTCGCATTAACTGAATATTTATTGGAATTTTTGTGAGCTTTCCATGAAATGGAAATGATACGAATTATATGGAAATTATACTTTCAAGAGTACTTCGGTTTAGCAAATTTTCTGTTCCACTTCGAACAGTTTAAATCAATAGGAAAGGTTCTTTAAATCAATAAAAAGTTTTCTTGTTACACTCAATATGACTGAAAAAGAAAATGGTGGCGTCTCTGGTGGCGGAAATCGAATTTTGTATCAAATTTTCTATCACATTTATGTTACTCTTCACCTCTGCGAGAGAAAGGCAAATACCTGGAAAACTCTTCACATATTTGGAGTAATGTTACTTGGCAGAAAATGATTCATGACAGTATGCGTCATTCGCTACGAAATGACAAATCACTATGACGCATGCGTGCGCGTCATCAACATTGAAGGAAGTGTTAAAATAATAACTATAATAATAATTATAATATAATTATACTACAATTATTAATACTCTTCTGATTTTACTCTTTCACACTGTTTATTAAAGTTTCACCCTAAACAATACTTCTCTTTCTAGATATTAAGTAAAATAATCGAGTTAATTAAATATCGATAATATTTTTATAAATATTTACTCCTTCTTTTTCTAAAACACTGGGAAAATAAATTAACTTTGTATTCACGAAGAAAAGGAAGAAAATGTATATATACGCATTTATAAATTATTATATTCATCGTTTAATCATGCACTCGATGCGAAACTTCTCTATAGTAATCATTAATTAAAACATTCAAAATTGTATTACTATCAATAACTGACGTCGCGTATTGGAGTTGCAAATTATTCGCGAATTAATACAAAGTGGTTGAAAGCTCGGTAGATCAGTGCTTTAAGACTTTACTTTTAGTACCGGGTGCCTGGATGCGAAGTTCCGCCGCTGGCTAATCATGACAAACAGAATCGTTCGTTTTGTTCAGCGTCGAAGTTTTTGCCCGGAAGTTTCGTAATAAATATGTGAAAGTTAATAACGAGGTTTAATAACAAAATTCTAGTGGTGGTCTTTCGGCCGAGGCACACGTAATTTAATTACGAACATGGCGGAACTCTATGGCTAGGATATGATCGAAAGTTCCCGGTTCATTTGGAAGTTTCTGCCGAATCGGACGGTAAGTAACTGCGTGGACCAACGATTCCTTTTAATGAGTCAACTTTCTTGCCAATCCGGAAAGAAAGCTTCCCTCCGTTCCTTTTAATTACACCGACATCTCGATCGTTTGTATCGCGTACAACAGAGTAAGCGTGAGAGAGAACGCGAATGCGGAGAAGGAGGAAGAAAAAGTGAATAAAGGAGAGAGAGAGCGAGAGAGAGAGAGAAAGAGAGTTTCAGTTTTCGCGTTTCAAAAGACGGGCTTCGTCGACGAGCTGCATACAAACGCGTATTTTAATAACGTGGTTGTAATTAGATCTCGCGGAAACGTGTGCCACGTTAATGCTATGGTTACCACAGAATTCGTGGGAATTTCTGGAGCAATCTGTGCAAATTGATTACGCGAACAAGCACGAATTAATTAAAAAGATATTTCACTGCGTTTGAGTAACTCGTTTCTAGCGAGAAAAAATATCAAATCTGCGAAAGGTAGCAATGCAAGCATACATTCAAAGCTAGGGTACTTACGGGATTTTAAGAATCAGGTTAACAGAATGATTGCTCGTAAACAGTAATGGCGAATGTGTAACGAAAACGAATTCTTCGCGGTGAAATGTATTGTGATATAATACAGACAACAAAATTAACAAATGTATATTTCAATATTGCTAAAACAATAATAAGTTCTATTAATAATACTGTCCAACAAATTTTAACTTTTTCATTAATCTTTTCTGTGATATCCATTACGTGATTCTTCTTAGAGTTCATTTTCCGTAAAATGATTCCGTAATCGAAATTTCTCTATCAACTTCAATTTCTGAAAAATGTTAGTTTTTTTTAAAAAGGCACAATTTTTGTGTAAAATGAAGTATTACATGAAAGATAGGAATGTTAGGAGGTTCATTCTTGTATTAAAAGTTAGGCGAGAGTATCTAGAGTTTATCAATGTCTATA